AAAAACCACTAGTAATACTAGTCCCTACACTAGTAACTAGTATTTTACACTAGTAGGTTTTTGAAACGTAGACTTGTAAAATACACTAGTATTACTAGTCCATGGACTAGTAAATACTAGACTAGTATTTTTATGAAACAGGGCCCTGGAGTTAAAGGCGGCCGTGGTTCTGCATGGCGCGGTAGTGGGCGGTGGCGGTCTGACGGTAAGGTCTCGTCAAGAAACTGAACTGAAACAGACAGAGAGAGTGAGGGAAGGGAGAGGCGGTGGCAATGGCAATAGTTTTCTGCAAAGTTTGTGGTTATATTATTAGGTCCGCTTCATCTTACTTGGTTTAATATTAATGCAGTGAACGAGTGAACTTCTATAACCTTAATTTCGTTTGCTTATCCGTCTATTTTGTGCTCCAAATTATAGCCTATAACTTATAGAATCCCCAATAATTGTTAATGCTAGTAGGCTAAGGTATACATGGATCTTACTTGAAAAACAAAACTTCTAACAAGGTAACTTAAGACTTAAGGATTTGTTTTTTAAGGCACTTTGTTTCCTTGTTTGCCTAGTTGAGTGGCCTAGCCTTTTTGTTATCATTATATGCCAATAATATAATACCGATAATATATTATCTTTCCCCAGAATATAGCCTAAGCATGTTGAGAACTTTACTTCAAGGCTCTGTCACAGTGTTACCGGAGCAGATAGGCTTAGGCTAGACATTTAACCCTCCAAGTGTTATGTGTCATAAAAGCGACTCATAACACATCCGCTATAGTGTTATGTGTCGCTTTTGCGACTCACAAACATTGTTTACGGCGACGGCTCTGGGACTGACTGAATCGGATTGAACTGGATCAAAATCAAAAATCAAAATCAAAAGCTTTATTTTCCAATTAATCGAGTTAGGTATCGTTTTTGCAGCAGATTCAGAGCTTTCTCCTGATGTCTGTTTCTATACGCTTTTCATTTTAGTTCCGAAAATATTGTAGCAGACAGCTGATGTGGGCATTTGTAAACAGCTTGGTTAACCTCGCACCAATGACTGATGTGTTTTATTACGTTCATCATTGTTTTAGTATTAAAAATCAAAAGTAAGTAGTCATATACGTGGTGCATTATAAGAAGATCCCCTAAGTGATTTTGAAGGGCTGGTTGATGATCCTAAGGAAGTATGTAGTGATATTGATGTAAATTATCAGCCAGATTCCTAGCTATGGTTAGGCTATGCATTCTTAGCTAAACGCTATGTACCGAAATCTGTTTTTTGCCCATAACTTATTTATTTGCAAACCTACTTCCTTATATTATTATATTATATTTTTGGAATCCTCATAAAATTCTGAACAAATTGGCTACATTATTTTAAAATATTTGTAGACCTAAATTATAACAATTTATTGAGCGCAAACATAAATTTTTTAGTTTATTTTATAATTATTGAGAAATGTTAACCCCACAAAAATTGTTGAACATTTTTTTGTAATGTTTTATATGTTACATTGAAGCCCATAATTTTCCAAACAAAATGATATATGAAACAGTATACTTTACATTGTTTTTAAGTTTCTAAGATACATTTTAATAAAACCCTGCGATTGCGCAATAAATGAGCGAACATTAAGACCAAAACTAAAGACACTTGGAGGGTTAAAATGTAAGTAGGCCTTAGTTCAGTAACAATGTAGGTATCAAGAATCAATGAATTAGCCTACTGTACCCTATTCCAGTAGACAAATATACATGCATATGGACACGGCAAAAAGTGGATTACATGCTGCAAAAATACAAGTCAGAGATAGGAATAGGCTTCATTAGTTATGTACATCCGCTTATACATTTCAACCAGTGGCGGATCTAGACTAGAACAGTCACAAGAGGGGGGGGGGGCGAACTGGGGGGTCTGGAGGTACCCCCTCGAAAAATTGGTGTAAACTAAGCATACGTCTCCAAATGGTAGGTACCGGTACTGTAGTTGTATAGGCCTACCATTTTTTGTACAAAGTTAGAGTGACAAATGATTTTACACAATGTGTATGCACCACTGTATTACATGCAGTAATATATATATATATATATGCCTGGGCGGTTGCCCCCTTTGCCCCTCTCTGGATCCGCCACTGATTTCAGCAAAACTGAAATAACTTAACCTACCAAGATAATAATAAAATCCCATACCAACCTGATAACTTAGGCCTGCCCGCAAAAGTCACAGGCCTTATTCTGTGGCTGCTAATATTATACTATTTGTATTTTTTTATGATATATTGGGATCCTAAAACTTATAGCTTAACATAGGGCACAGTTTCTTAACTGGGCTACGCTGCTGCTAAATATCCATTGAAACTAAATTCGATTAGTACTTAAACCTTCATTCGATTTTTTAATTATCAGCAAGCTTGGTTAGTTAGGTTAACTTCTTAAGTTAAAAACTGTTTTCTTGTAGCCTACCAAGTTATGTTGATTTTGCTTGTTCTTGTTGTCAATCATTAAGAGATTTATTATACTGTTACTTGTTACTTTACTTTGTTAGCTAATTACTAAATTAGTTGTTCCCCATGTTGATTGTTAAATTGTCATATTTTGTTGTTGATCGTAGAAAGGTTTGATACATTCTCATTAGGTCATTTTTAGTCTGTTTTATCTTCATGTATGTATGACATGTAAGCCTGTAATGTAACGTTTTGCCATCTTTGTATACATACCGGTACCTATGTAAAATGGAGTTTTCCGTTAATGAATAAACTTGAAAGGTAACTGTATGGCAGTTTCATTTCATACCTAATTGAAATAGTTAAAACTAGTGATTATTAATTGGTATATTATAAACAATCAATATTAGCATAGCCCAGTAAAAAAAAAAAAAAATACCCTTAGCTTAGCCTTTAACTTATCAGGCATACAAAAATTGCATCTTATTTACATTTAAGTTACTTAACTTCATTAAGGACTTGAATAGTGCATGGATGGGCGACCAACAAGTAGGAAAATATTGCATAAATTTTCAAACTAAAATTAAAAAAAAAAAACAATAAACTCTAATAAAATGATAAGTTAGCGGCGGGTTGTCAAATGTGGTGTGCCCTCCAATTCACTTAACATATTTAGTGCTAACGTAAATTTAATGAAACCCAGTGCGTAATTAGTGTGTCAGCAGAGAATTTATATTACATTTTCATTTACAATTTATTATTTTAAAAATAAATTAGCATTCGAGGATGTACATGATTCTGTTTATGTTTTTAGCCAATTAGGCTATATATTATTAGCAGTGAATGTGTTAATGAATGTACAGAGGTCTGCCTCTGCCCACCAAACGGTCCCGCAGGGTACTTTTCTGTTTAAGGGAACATTCATTATCATCAAATCTGATTTTGATACCTACATTGATACTTAATTTTTTGATCCAGGATGCCAAAATTATTCATGTTGAAGCCTTCCGAAATTGGTAATCAATTATAACAGGTTACGTACCTTGACGTCCTTAATTCCTCTGTGGAACTTCCGTTGACTTGTTTCGACTACAGTGGACTCCCTCTTTCCAGGGGTCTGGCCTTGATCCCGAGGAGTCCAGATAAGAGGGAGTCTACTGTGCTAAGTAGCCTAGTCATTATAAAAACAGAAGGTTAAAATATTCCATTCATTGAATGTCGTCAAATTTTTCCTAAAGGCATTTAACACACATTAAGCTTAGGCCTATAAAACACGGTGGACACATTTAAAAAGTTGGCCGGCCGGCACATGTCATTGAACTGGTCAACGATTCTACTGTTTACCCCGTTAAATGTCTACCATGTTATGTTAGGTATGTGTTTAAAATGTCTTTAAAAAAATTCGACGACATTCAATGGTGGGGTAAACTATCCCCATTTTAAACAAAAACTGTTTGAAAGATAAATCACTGATTTATATCTGAGTTTACAGAGGGTCCAGCTTGAAATATAAGGGGTAATTTTAATCACACAATATTTTAAGTTAGGCTATGTTCGTAACATCAGAAATGTAAACATTGATGATGACTTTGTATAACCTCAAATTATGTTGTGATATTTTGTAATGATTTGAAACTTATTTCCACTACGATAAAAATAGTTGTACATCACACGGAGTGAAAGTGTCTTTTCGTACTTAATGGAATTTCCAAATTGTGTACCAAAAGAGCCACTTTCCCTCCTAGTGATAAAGATTACTATTTTTGAATCTTCTCCTCAACCGTTAGGCATATAATAACGCTTCAGTTTATTAATCCTGCAAACATTAATCTTGATAAAAAAAACCTTGAATCTTTTATGAATGAAAATCATAGTCATAATTATTTAACAAGACACAGAAACGATTTACAACTGCCCATTCACAGACTTACCTCACTTGAAACCCTTCCACAATATCTAGGGGAAAAAATATATAATAAACTGCCTGAAAATATTAAATCACTAGAATCATTTGAAAAATAAATTGCAGCATTTATTTATAGTAAATGATTTTTTAAATGATGTATTTATTTGATTTCTTAGCATATTTTTTAGTTATAGTTTTATGTATTTTAATTATATGACCATTTCACCTGTTTCCCAGCTATGCTGGATCTGTGAACGTTTTGTGAAAATAAATTATTGACTTGACTTATCAAATTATTTGTTTTTTAAGCTCTACAAAATGGTTTAGTAACAAATTTGCTAACTTTTTTTGTTTTGAGGGTAAAAACCAGGAAAACATAATGTTTACCCCATAAACCCCCTCCCTCCCAAATAAACCCAGTTCCAATTGTCCAATCATGCTGGTTCGGGAACTCTTTTGAATAAACGTAGGTTTATATGCTTGTGCCAATTGTCATCAAAATTGGATCATTTTTGCTCAAGTTATCGTCCTATCGGACATACTTATTTATGTGAAATTGAACAGATGGTTTTATGGTCTCTGAGGACATCTAAACAAAAAAATAAAATTCGTCCTGGGTCGGTCTTACTCAAAGACTTACGGTAATACCTTATTCCCTATGACTTGACTTATCTCTTTTCACTCCTGCACGGAGCATAGGGCCTCACGAAACAACGCCATCGGACTCGGTTGGCAGCCAAGGCTCTTACTTCCCTCCAGTTTTTCCCTGCATCTCTTATTTCTTCTTCTATAGTTCTTCTCCAGGTCATTCGAGGCCTTCCTCTTCGTCTATGCCCCTGGGGATTCCAGCTCAAGGCCTGCCTCTCTACAGCATCTGGATCTTTACGAAGAGTGTGTCCAATCCATCGCCACTTGCGTTTTTTAATCTGTATCTCTACAGGTTCTTCATCTGTAGCTTTCCACAGCTCTCTGTTTGAAATAACCTCCGGCCAGTAGATCTTCAGTATTTTTCTCAAACATCTAATTGATGAAAACTTGGAGCTTTTGTGTCAAAGATGAAGATACCTTCCAAGTCTCACACCCATATAGCAACACAGCCTTGACGTTGCTACTAAATATCTTCAACTTGGTTCTGGTTGAAATGTCACGAGCCTTCCACACTGGATACAGCTTATTCCCTATGCCATGGGAAATTTGCTAATATTCCGTAGGCCTAGATAGTATGGAACATCCTCTAAAATCAAAACTTAATACTAAAAAGTGTAGGTAGTAGTCCTAGAAAAAGCTGAATACATTTTGAATATATATTTAATGTGCTATAATTAATTAATTTGTTTAAGTTACAATTCATTGTTTGTTTAAGGATCAGTTATGAATTCACTCACGCTCACCTGCAGTAATCAGTAAAATTTCAAGACAAAGAAATAATAATTATATAAAAATGGACTCAGCTGTTGTTGAAGATAAGTCACCAAAAGTCGATAAATCAGAAACTGAAAATAACAGTAATAATGAAGCTGTTGCAAGCAGTAATGAAAATTCAGCTAGTGTTGAGGACGAAGCAGTAGTTAATGAAAAATCACCTATAGTTGATAAACCAGAAATTGAAAATAACAGTAATGAAGAAGCTGTTGCAAGCAGTAATGAAAATTCAGCTAGTGTTGAGGACGAAGCAGTTGTTAATGAAAAGTCACCTATAGTTGATAAACCAGAAATTGAAAATAACAGTAATGAAGAAGCTGTTGCAAGCAGTAATGAAAATTCAGCTAGTGTTGAGGACGAAGCAGTTGTTGAAGAAAAGTCACCAAAAGTCGATAAACCACAAACTGAAAATAACAGTAATGATGAAGTTGTTGCAAGCAGTAATGATAATTTAACTAGTGTTGAAGATGTAGAATTGAATGAAGCAGAGTCGAACAAGAATTTTGAAGGTGACGTTGACGAAGACGAGCTTTTGAAAGATACTGAAGAAAATGAAAGTAGCAGCACTGTAACTGATGCTAGTAAACCTGTCAACCCTACATGTAATGTGGACTCAACGGACGATAACTACAAAAAGGCAACTGAACAGGAGAATCTTTCAAATACGGAAAGTTCAAATGTAACAACGGACCAAGTACCCGATAGTAGCAATGAAAACTTGGGAAATGCAGAAATACAAGATGCAGTCAGTTGTGATGAAAAAGAAAGAAATGAAGCAAATGGTTGTACCAGCAAAAATGAAGAAAAAACTGTAGATCCTATTGAATTAACAGATTCAAATTTTAAAGAAGGGGAAACATCTGAAGCCGATACTGACGTGACTTCTAGTAATATTGAAGAAGTTGAAAAAGAAAAAAATGTCAAAGCCAAAGAAAACTCCATTTCCACTTCTGATGAAATTGAAAATTTGACCATGGATGCTGAATCAAAAGAGGCTACAAACACTTGTCATATTAGTGATAGTGTGAATAAAAATGATAGTTTAGATGGGACCAAATTTTTACATGTAGAGCAAGAGAATTCTCGACCAGAAGATTCATTTGAGGAACCTGCAGGAGAAGATCCGTTTGCTCAAACATCAGATGTAGCTATGGATACATCGGAAACTAATGAGAAAGAGGATAAATCAGAAAAATCAGATGCACCAGCAGATGCAAATGAAGCTGATGTTAAAGAAACCCAACCGGAAGTAACCATGGAGCTTTCAGAGAGTGTTGAAAATAAAGAGGAAAATGGTCAATCAAAACCAGTCGATGAGCCAATGGATGTTGACGAGATAATTTTGGATTCTGAGGGGAAAAATGAAACCGCTAGTGGAAAAACTACTGATGATGCTGAAAACAAGACTGCAGTAAGTGAAACTGGCTTAAGTGTACAAAATACTGCTAATGACAAAGGCCTAAAAACCACTCCACCTACCGAACCTGAATCGGGAAATCAAAATGATAAAAGTGAAAGTGGCGGAAATGGTAATACAGAAGAAGATGTTGTTATGATAGAAGATGATAGAGACATTACAGAGTTAAGAGATGTTACAAAGGTAGCAGAAACTACTACAAACGATGTGATGAACAAAGTACATCCTCATCCAACCAAAGCTGCCAAACCATCTGGATCTAGACACAGGAAAAAAAGTTCCTCAGATAGTGATAGTGATATTGACTTTCAAGAGTTGAAGTCTAAGGAAAAAGCTGTAAAACGAACCCCTAAAAGAAATGCAGCGAAAATTGCGGAATCTCAAATAAAGGTAAGAACTAAATTAATAATAGATTATAGTTTAAATACCTTATCCTACTTTCGAAGTGATCCCTAGTATTCAAAAGCCTATAGGCTACTGCAGTTTCATTTCTATTACTTCATCAGGCTTTGAAGGACATCAAATTTAATTCCAGTGGAGGTCGTCATAGTAAAAATCTATCGAAATCTAAAAGATCTAAAAATCTATGACTTAGATTGATTTTTACTATAACAACTTCCTCTGGAATGAAATACGATGTCTAGCAACATTAAACTAAATTAACTCTAAGTCTCTACATAACAAAAAAAAATTCAAATTACATTTTGAAATTTCTATTTGGCAGTTATTGTTATGTAGGTATTAGATAATGTCAGTAAAATTATCATATACGATAAAATGTATCATTGACTATACACATAATAGTGTGTAGTGAATAGTGTGAATTCTATGTATAATCAATGGTATAGTTTATAGTGAATAGTGTGAATTCTGTGTATAGTCAATGATTGTACCTATTTAAAAAATCGAATAAATTATTAAGGTTAAATATACTTTAAAGCATACTACATAATTATATCTCCCCTTAAATGCTTCAGGCACTTTTTAAAAGGCTTGTTAAAAAGGAGGTTTACTTTTCTTTACTTAAGTTTAGATTATTTGAACGTTATTACTTGAACTTTGTGAGGTGTTTATGTCGGGTAGGGTCAATCTATCCTAAACTTACCTCCGATTTGCTCGGACAGCTCGAGTAGTCCAGGGTTCTCGCTAACAGTCTCCGTCGCTCGCTAACTGCTTCACGGTCTTCATAGATGGTACCTTCGTCGTCCTACACGCATGAGTATACTATGGTTGTATTTCAGCACAACGACGCAGGGGACTAGGAATATATCGGCACTAAATACGATGCTTCTAGGTGAACTAAAATACGTGACCAGCTTCTAGGCCTAACAAAAGGTATTGCTTCTCAAATAAAAACTAAAAATAATATTCTCGTAGTGAAATAAAATGTCGTCACACGCAATAATAAATTAACAAAATGAAATGAGTCAGTGCTAATATGCCAATAAACTTCTTGGCTTCGAAATAACTAAATAAAATACTTTTCGATAAAATAAAATAAAAACCACTTTAGATAAATAAACTAAAAAGTGTAGGCTACTGCGGCACTGCACTCGCAGTGCCGGCCTGAGAAATACAATACGCTAATCTCTTACAACTAAGATGATCGTAAAGAAAATTAACTTTTACTTGCCAAAGTGAACGGGAAAATAAGACTAATAATGTAAGGATATACTGCAGTACTTACGTCTGTCGCTACTTATCTCGATTTTTATTATTGTTTTTAATCTCGCTCGTTGCGAGTCGCATCCACGACCTATGCTCGCCGCAGGTCCTAAGAGTCTTAAGAGGGGATGTTTGGCGAATAAGCGCTCGCCATCGATTGTCCCAAGAAATGTCCACTGTCCGGCAGTCTCAGCTAATCCCCACTACTGCTACGTCAGCGCCCCGAGGTCGCCGCGGTCAAGTCACGAACTAGGAGACTTGACTTGTAGTGGACATGTTTGACATTGTTGTCAAGCGCGCTCAAGTCTTCGCGGCCTTAAAATAATGGAAACGAATTCCCTAATGAATTTTGCCCATTACAACTTAATACTTTAGTATAAAATCCCCAATTTATTTACAACTAAAAGTCTCTCTTTGGAAAGGTTGACCATTATTTCATGAAATTTTTAGTTTAGTTAAATTATATATCCACTTAACTGTGAAAAGACCTAAGTGGGTTTTGCCAACTCTGTATGCTTGGAATAAACGATGAGTTGTGTAGCAAAATCTTAAAAATAGGAATCGATCCAAAACTTCTAGATATGAAGAAAAAGTTGATTCCACCCTTATCAATATTAAAAAAATATGCAAACCAAAATAACCGTGAATTCGATCATTAAGATTGTATGGAGACCCTGTTTTCATCATGTTATATCAAACAGTCTGCACTTTGAAGTTGATCTAGAACATTCGTAGTAGTCTTTTGCTCAAGATCCATGAAATTTATCTTGTGTTTCAAAACAAATTTTGAAAGTGAAAGGTAAATGAGTGAGGTAAATGACGTGTCGTTTTAAGAATCAAGAATATTTATTGTCATTGAAACACAAAAATACAGTGTATTGACAATTGTCATATCTTGACAAGTATTTCTATATTTCTATTAGTACAAGGTTTTAGTTAAGTATTTACCTTGTAATATAGTTTGTATATTTCTTGGTCACCATCCACTTATATTTTTTGCGTCAGGTATTGTCGCAGCTTGATAAAGAGACAAATGAAGAGTCTGGTATTAGTGTTGTTAATTTCAACAAGTCGGATCGTCCGTCATCTGCTAGTCAGTCTACAGAAGGAACTCCCAACGATGGTCCTAAATCATGTTTTACTTGTAAAAAGGTAAAGTAATTTTTTTATTTATTAGTAGGCTATTCAATATTTAGCCAGTATTTCATAAACACCAGGTGGAATTGATCACTAATATATTAACACTACCCCTGGACTGAAGTGAGGGAATGTGGATGACGAGAAGAAGCTCAAGGTATTCCTTAAAAGCAGTGTTAAGCACTGTGGTGGTCGTCACAATAAATACAATCTTTATGCTAAAAAGTACCAACTCTGTCATTTCGACAGCTATGCGACCTCTCCCGGGTTAATGCATATACTAGTCGCAACCTGATTGAATTTTTTTCTAACTTACATGATTTCTTAGGTCGTGGAAAACCCAGTCGGCATACCCTCGTTTGGTGATAAGAAGAAGTACTTTTGTGACAACAATTGTGTGGTTACTTTCCGTGATGGACCTTCCAAGACAGCAGATTGCGGAGA